AGGCCCTAAAACACCTTCACATCTCCACACTCCGACATTAAAATCTCAGCTATGTGATACACTTTTGTTTGGTTTTACGTGTTTATCTTCATTTCCAAGTTTCTCAAGATATGAAGAGTCAAACCTTCAGTCAGATTGGCTCCACAGAAGCCAGGTTTTCAAATTTCACCACAGATTTTTCGTTCTGGACTTTGGTCAGTGGCGCCTCCGGGTGGAGAGAAGCGGCAGCATCATTCAGCGTTTCCTGTCTCTACAGAGCGGTTCTTCGTCTGCGGCCTGAACCTCACGGCTCCGAGGTCGTACATCGCCAAGAACCCGAAGGAATCCCTGCGGACGCTGACCTTCAGCAACTGGGAGTGTCTCAGGGAGTGGGTGGAGCAGCAGAGACCCGGGTCGGACCCCCACAGCCTCAACATCATAGCGGGGGATTTCGTGGGTCCGCTCCCACTCTGCTCCCTGGTGATCGGACTGAACCACAAACTGCGGCCCAAGATCTCAGCCCGTTCCAGGAAGGAGCAGCAGCAGCAGCTGTGATTTCAGCTTCAAGAACATTTTCCTGCGTCTAAAATCTTCACCAATTTAAAAAAAATAAATAAAAAAATCACCTGATGTCGTTTTGTTTTCTACCCGAGAAGAGTTTGCATTTCTCACGTGAAGCAGAGTATATATTTCTTACAAGAAAATGTCTCATTCTGGCTCAGACCTTTTAATCGCTGCAGAATAAACGATATTTTCCTAAGCTCTTTGTGGTTCTGAGTTCAGTCATTTGTTTTTTTCCTCCCCTCCTCTCTCACCGACTTTCGAACAGTTTCTTGTAACGTCCGTGAGCAGCGGCGCTGATGATGACCGTGACGACGGCCGAGCCTTCCTCTGCGTTCACCTGCACGTCTTGGACGGTGGCCTCCTTGTACAGCCAGCTGCGGACCGGGACACACACACGCAAGCTCACCACATGTCCAGAACGAAAAACGAAACTGGCTGACCGAACGTCACATTCTGACCTTAACTGAGGAGAGCTGAGGTTCACTCTCAGGTCTAGGATTTGCTTTCCGGTGGACTTCACCACCTCCTGCTCCACAGCTTTGTTCAGCTCGTCCAGGCCTCGCTGCTGCAGGGCAGAGATGAGCACAGCACCGGGCTCCGAGCTCTCATAACTAACACACACACACACACACAGGAGAAGATGTCAGCAGGGGAAGATTTAATCTCAGATTGCAAAGTTTCCAAAGCAGAAACCGAAGCAGGTCCTCCTACGCTGAGGAAGCGTCGGCTCTCACCCGTCAAGCAGGTCAATCTTATTGTGGACCTCGATCATGGAGTCCAGCAGCCTGCGCGGGATCTGCAAGTTCTTCAGGACGTTCAGGACGTTCGCCTTCTGATTCGCCGTCTCTGGATGACTGACGTCTCTGACGTGAACCAACAGATCCTGGGGAGCAGAACGGAAAGAGTCTTTTTTCAAAAATAGTTTTTTAACTGTGATAATCTCAGGGGATTGCTGGGTCCTGAGGGAAGGCCTCGTCGACACCTTTGTAACATTATCTAGGTTCTGTTCATCTTCAGACCAACACTCAAAATGATGAGGTTTAGAGGGGAACATACTTTCGTCGAGGGAGAGTGTGAACCTGTAGCTACGTAATGCGTGCTAACGCCTTGTAGAACAAGTGTCTTAAAGGGGCAGCATCATGTGTCTTCCATTTTATAGCACAATCGTGTAACTATTGCCTTCAATTGTAAGGAAAAACTTACAACGGTATATTAATATAGTAGCAGACATAGGTACAGCTGGTTTCTACCATGTATGAACTCAAAAGGATGAATACAAATCCACAGCTCACCTCTGGACTTTTATTTCTAAAGAAAAAAGAAGTAAAAAAAGGAAAGTCATATCCATTTCCTTCAAATCTCCTATTATTTCTTGCTTTGTGTTTTTTTCCACAGTAGAACCCCAAATAAAACCAAGTCTCCAATTGCAATGTAACAGTATGTGAAAAAGTTCATATGGCGTGAATGCTTTAGCAATGCATTGTGGGTCAACACCAACATGAAGGTATTTTTGCAGCGCTGCATATTAATATTATATATTTTTTTAAATTTTTGCTGAACAATAATGACCACAACGGTAATTTACTGAAACCCCCCCCAACATATTCAGAGCACTAATTAAGTCACAATCACTTTCTTCCAAAATGCTTCCTAATATTTAGCCAAGTCTAATAAATGAAATAAAAGCCGATCTTATTCCAGTTAGTGCAGAAGAAGAAACTGGACTCCCTACCGAGTGTACGATGTCCTCCAGGGTGGCGGAGAAAGAGTCGATGAGCTGGTGTGGGAGCTGGGACAGGAAGCCGATGGTGTCCACGTACAGAACGGTCATGTGACTGGGCAGCTGGCCAGCGTGGACGGTCACGTCAAGGGTGGCAAACAGCTGGTTCCTGGGCTGGAGGCCGCTGTCGCCGGTCAGAGCTTTGATCAAAGTGGTTTTTCCTGAACAGATGAGGGGAGGAGGGAGAAAAAAAAAAAATGACAAGAATACGAGCAAAAACAAATGAGAACGTTGTTCCCGAGACTTTCCAAGTGGTGTCTCTAGGCTCTCACCGCAGTTGGTGTATCCCAGCACGGACACAATGGGGAACTCCCTGTGTTTCCGCTGAGATCGCAGCAGGTGCCTCTTTTTGCGGAGCTTCTCCAGCGCCGAGCGGATCCTCGTCTCCCGCTCCTTCAGCAGCCTCTGCTGGACTTCATACAGCGTCTCACCTGGAATAACCGAGCAGGAAGGGTCAGTCGGGTCTTCAGTCGACGCGGCGGATCACAGGCTGCGTCAGGGCTGCATCACCTGAACCTCCGATGTACCTCGCTCCCCCGCCCTGCTGATCCAAACCCGCCATGTCGTTTTTCAGACGAGACCTGCAGGTGGAACACCAACAGAAAGACGGCAAAAAAGACATCAGAGCGTAACAAAGACGAGGCTGAATGCAACTTTATGTTTTCCTGTCCAACTTCCAAACTTTACCAGAATCAAATTTCCAGGGTTTTCAGTATTTTACAACCAAATTTTTAAAAGTATAAATTAGGGGTGGACATTTATTTTTGATAAGTTGTTCAGACTTTTTTTTTAAACCGAACACTTTAAAAAAAATCTTTTTACTCTTACTTGAGTAAAAAAAGTATGTTGAAGTAGTACTGCTCTCACTTCAGTCTAAGTTTTGGGTTCCCTTAACAGATGGATGGAAAAACTGGACAAGTGGTGGAGACACTGACCGATAACGGACACCCAGGAAAGTTCTTCCACCTTCATAATCACTCCTGGTGAGAACCTGACACGCAGGCAGGCCGTGACGTGAAGTGCGTGTAGTCACCTTAGTAAGGGGATCTCTGCCAGTGAGATCTGGAGCTTGGCCTCTTTGGTTCTGGCGTTGCAGCGGAAGATGTGGAGAACAACCGAGTACCTGTCAAACACCTTCACCCCCCAGGCTTCCTCGAACTCCCTCTTATGTTGGAGACAGAAGGCGTCCATCGGTCAGCCTGATGTAGCACTCACTGACACGCAGCACTGTCAGTCAGTTCCACGCAGTCTCACCTCAGACACAGAGTGCAGGCGGTCCACATTCACGAACACAGCAGTGACTCCCGGGGTCAGCCTGATCTTCTCTGGACAGAAGACACGTTTTCATTCAGAGCAGGCTTCCCACCGGACAGGACCGCTGGGAGGCCGGTTACCTGTCAGAAGCTGGAAGTTCCCCTTTCCAAATATCTTCTTCTTCTCTGGTGTCTTTGTGGAGAGGATGATCTTGTCCACCACTGTCCAGTTGTCCAGGGTGTTCACCAGTCCCTCGGCCTCGGCCATCATCAGCTCGGCTGTAAATTAAACACGCAGCCGAGTCAAAACCCTCTGAGGACCCGCCTCGTTCGACTGAGCGTGCTGGACTCGTTACCTGTGGTCAGGTACTGCTTTCTGCTCCCCCACTTCACATCCGGGTGGACGATGAACACCCTGTGCTGTTCCTGCCCGATCCCCGCGGGGACATGCTGCTGGAACAGCTCCTCCACCTCCGCCTCCTCCAGCAGGTCTCCATCCTCCTCCTCTGAACTGCTGCCGAGGTCTTTCCAGTTCTTCCAGCTGGAGGCGGACAGCGCCAAAGACCTGCTGGGCGGCAGGTCGGGCGACTGTCCTCGGCGAGACGTGGGGAGAAACCTGCAGGCAACTGCGGGTCTGTGACAGCTGCGTAGGAAGAGAGGCAGTCGCGAATGAACGAACCTCAGAGTCTTCATGCCGCCTGGGGAGGTTTTACCGCCGACACATGACGCGAAACACCCTTGCTGCAGGTCAGCGTGGACTGTTTACGTCTTTCTAGCTGACACTTATTCTCCCGGCGCGTTCAAAGTAGCGGCGCTGCACTGCCACCTGCTGGTATGGCGGCGCTGCACAGCCACCTGCTGTCCAGACGGTGTACTGCCACCTGCTGTCCATACAATGTACTGCCACCTGCTACATACTGTACTTGAATAACTTTATAATGGGCTGGAGGGGAATACTTTTATTAGCATTTTTACTTTTTACTTTTACTTGAGTAACTACTATGATCCATTGTTACTATTGAGTAGACTGTCTGGATTCTCTACCCACTGTGAGCAACTTCACCAAATGAGTAATAAGCTTGTTTTAACCAAAAATGCACCACACACACTCATGCAGTTTGGGTCAAAATTTCCTAAGTTTTATGTTGAAAGAAATTAATAAAAAATATATATTTCAAAATCATTCTTCCAAATTTATGTCATTTCCATGACATAATTTATTTCCATGAATTATTTTCATTTTAATCTTTAGAATGCCAAAATTACCACACAATTTTATATTTTTGGTCCATCCAATGATGCAATTTTTAAAATAAATGGTTGATGTTTAGATACTCAGAACTCCTATTTTTTACTTTCACAAAATGCGCATAACAGCATTTTAATGACTATGTAATAAATGTATTATACTGTAATGCCAACAATACATACATACACACTGGTCTTGGTTTAACCAGTATGCACTTAAATATCTGTCTTAGGTGAACCTGATGTCAACCTAAGATACATCTGTTATATCTTAACGTAACATAAAGTTGCTGTTCAGTGAAAAAATTGCGTTTATTTTTGAAAATCAGCATTGAATGAACAGAATGTCACAATTTGACCATAATGTGAATATCAAAGTATCATTTGTAGGAAAATAAATCTTCACATCTTCACATGAGGTTTCTACAACCATAACTCAAAATATCAAGTTAGCAGCGACAGGTTTTTTTATGAGTCCACAGAGCTTCTGCTCTGAGTCATATATGGCGTGAGGTCTGGGCAACTGGACACATGGTCTTCTTCAAGAGTCTCAAAGCTTAAATCCTTGGATGAAGAAAAAGCACTTGAGGGAGAATGAAAGGTGGACTTTAAGGTCTCTTTTTCTGAGTACCGTAGCTGTGCAGTTGCTGTTTCATGCAACCGAGTCCACATCTACGAATGGTGCGATCTGAAATATCAAAGTTGAAATTCAATAGTCATATTCATTGTTCACCATATAAAAATGAAAACATGAATGCAAAAAACTAGAATATGAAGGCTGATCTTTCTTTTTACTATGGTTTTGTATAAATCATCTACATTTTCTTTATTGACCATGTACAAATATAAACACATACATGGGAAAAAACCCTAGATATGGGAAAAACAATTAATCACAACTAATCAATTAATCTCTGTAGGACACTGCTTTATTGAAATTACCACTCAAATGAATCCCGGTCTTGGACGGTTTCGTGGGTTTAAAAAAACAAAAATCGTCGCTCGCCGACTGGATAGTGATACTGTGCAGATGGACTGCAGTGACACTTTTTCAAAGATGGCACTGAACGCCCCGTCTGAACTGTTGCATGGAGCCAGAGGAAGATGGAACAGGGAATCTGACTAATCTAAACTACGTTGCGGAGGTGACCTGCCACGATTCGTTCCTTCTCACCAACAGGACGGTTTGGAACTGATGCCAAGGTAGCACAATGTGAGATAAGTGCCATCTTCTTGACTTTTCTATATCATTTTTTTTAACAAGAAGCCAATCAGTGTTCTGGTTTATTTGATCAAATTAAAAAAAAAGAAAGTGTGTTCTACTACGTCCCAGAGTCTCACAGATCATATAGTAGTTATGTGTTTGAAAAGCCACGCCTGCCCCCACTGTTCGCCATTTACAATAATAAACATCAGCAAACCGCTAACGTTTTCTCATCAGTATTTAGCTAACACATCATGGTAAGAAACTCTTCTCAACAGCACAATTAAAAGAAGCTTCATAATCAAAGCAAAACTATATGAATGAAAAGGAAACTCACTTTGTTTTCCTCCATGATTGCTCGCCAATGTTGGAACCATCATGGTCCTGAGCCTCCGTCTTCATTCACATCTGTACCACCACAGTCTGGAGAGCAGCGAGGATTTACCACAGAAAGTTGTTTGACACATGTTGGACCTCGAGGGCTCTGAGGAAGGCTATACGGGTCAGTTTTGATTGGTCTTAAAGGCAGTACTTCCTCTAACTTAGTGCTATAAGCTAGCTTTCTGGGGTTGGGGGGAAGCGATGTTGGGTTTGGGCTCAGGACAGATGTTACAGGATTTAGTGTCTGGGCAGAGGATGTAGGGGTCAGGGTTGGGGTAGGCATCTCAAAAGAAGAGTTTAAGCTCTGGTCAGAAGCTGGAGAAGTTCTTGTATGTTTTATGTGGCATGAAAGATGGACTTTCAGGTCTCTTTTCCTGAGTACGGTAGCCGTACAATACAAACAGTGAAAGTGTTGCTGTTTCCTGCAACTGAGTCCACATCTATGAATGGTGTAATCTGAAATGTAAATAGATTACATTTATTAGATATTTAACATCCAATCCATTAAATATTAAATAAAACAATAATGGAAACATACCTCCATGGGGAATTGCTTTTTTAATATGTCCACTCAAATGAATCTTGAGCTTTGATAGTTTTGTGGGTTTGAAAAATTCTAGAGCACAAAACGGACAGTGATACCGTGGAGAGGGGCAGCAGCGACACTTTTTCACAAAGGGCAGTGAACGCCCCGTCTGAACTGTAATATGGAGCTGCAAAACGTAAAAAGAAAATGAAGCCAAATTTCTCCAAATACAAGGAAAATTATTTGTAAACGTTACTTAAACCAAACCATCATAAACAGATTTACTTTGTTCTCCTTTGGTTCAGCCTCAGAAAGGTTGGAACCATAGTCGTGGTCTTCGGCCATCTTTATTTTATTCTCTTTCACACATGTGCCAACAAGGTCCGGAGAGTGAAGCGGCTCGAGCGCAGAGGTTTTCTCTGAGCATGTGTGAACTAGAGGGTCCCGGAGCGTGAGACAGAGGGGAGCGTCGTTAAGCCATGAAGGCAGTACTTCCTCTAACTTTGTGCAGTAAGCAGGTTTTCTAGGATTTGCGATGTGGGTAGACCGTACAGGTTTTGAGTCCTGGGTAGACCGTGTGGGGTTTGAGTCCTGTGCCGGCGCTGAAGAGTCTGATGTCTGAACAGACGCTGTTCGGGTGTGTTTCATGTGGCAGAATGAAAGATGGACTTTAAGGTCTCTTTTTCTGAGTACGGTAGCCGTGCAATACAGACAGTGAAAGTGTTGCCGTTTCCTGCAACTGAGTCCACATCTATGAATGGTGTAATCTGAAATGTCAAAAGGAATTTGATTTAAAATCCCATATTTGCATCTTAAAATTTACCACACACAAATATAAACACATATACAGACACTCCCTACATCTGAAGAAACATTGCAATCACAGTTTAAATGACTGCAAACAAAAACACCGTACCTAGATAGGAAACTGCCTTATTAAAATGTCCGTCCATATGGATCTTGACCTTTGACAGTTTTGTGGGCTTAAAAAATCCCGGCCCGCAAAACGGACAGTGATACTGTGGAGATGGACAGCAGAGACACTTTTTCACAGACGGCAGTGAACGCCCCGTCTGAACTGTTACATGGAGCTGGAGGAAAATGGAACAGGAAATCAGATTAAGCTCAACCCAAAGTGTGGCTCGCATCCAATTCACTCTCCTAAATTACATCCTGTCTAACCAGTTAAGTTTCAATATTTAATAATTTAATTTAACGTTTCATCTGCATTTAATATAATTTAATTTAATTTATCCTAGTGGACAGAATACATATTTTTGGTTAAAACCTCACCAAACGTCAGAACTATTTCATCTTCATTTACTGTTTCAGGGATTTTTTTTTCAATAAAGTTTTTTTTACGTAAAAAAAAAACTATAAAACCCGGAAAAGACCTGACAGTCGCGGAGCCTGAGAGCGACGCTTAGAGCTGGACACTTCGCGGAAACGCAACTCGATACAGCCAAATAATAATAATAATAATAAAAACAATTTAATACAAAAGACGTATTTGTATAATAGGGCTTTATGTAAAAAGTTTAAGCTAGCTTACTTGTTGGTGTTCAGCCTCAGCATTGGCGAGAGGGTAACTGTAATCATGGTCAGACGCCTCCATCTTTGTTTTGGGCATGCGTGAAAATGGTCCGGAGAGCGTGTGTTTCTGAAAGGGGATTGCGACGTTTCAGCGTGCTTAATGCGCATGCGCACAATTTCGGGTGCTGAACCCCAGTTGTGAGGATTGTTTTTGTCTCGGAGAGTCGCGTGCTTTTAGATGAACATTCATAGATTAAAAAAAGAAGAAGAAAAAAACTCAAAATAATCAGTCAGACGTTTCAGAAAAAAAATTTTCTATAAAATATTTTTTACGTTCCTATTTGAAAATAGTGCATTTCATATGAAGAGGCATCACTGTTGAAACAGGGAATGAAGAGATGTTTTGCAGTCTCATCATCGAATATATAGTAGTTGTGTTGGAAATGAAATATGTGGTTCCACCTTCGAATAAACATCATCAGCTCTTTAATATGCACGTTTTCGTGCAGCAGAAAAGCCCATAAAGTTTGTGCTTTTCTTCCCTAAAATAGTCTGGTTAATTGTAGACTGGTTAATTGTAGACTGGCTAATTGTAGACTGGTTAATTGTAGACTGTAGACTAATATTGGAAAACATTCTCACGCGTAGAACTTTCTCTCCACAATTTGACTAACCAACAGACTGTCACATATTTAACTTAATTTTCTTTTATGTGTGGAATATTATGTTTCATAAATTTTAATATTACTGATTTGTATTCGTTCCAATGGAGAACATAGCATCAGAACAATCCAAATGAAATCAGAAACGTATCCTTAACTAAAAGTAGCTTATGTTTAATACTTGTTTTCGTTGATAAAATGAGCTTGAATTGAATATGACTGAATCGTGCGCACTAATTTGACATGTTGGAGCATCAAATGTCATGAACAAACTTACTGTCGCCACAGTTCTTCTCACCTCCCCAGGCTTCATTTTGTTATAAATACTTCGCTACATGTTTGTTTCATACTTCCTTAACAACATGTGTGTGTGTGTTGTCTACAAAGCGGTCTGGCAGGTTAAACCAGCCTCCACCTATAAACTGAGTCCTTATCTGATCTTTACTGACTGACACTGAAGAGCCTGGGATCTTCACTGTTCTTATTTATTATTATTTTTGTTTATTGATTTTAAAAGAAACATTTTTTTTTGTGCTGACCTAAAACAGGAGATTAGGTATGGCAGAACAAGCGGCAGCATGTGGAAAGGTGTGCGTACTGCTCGGCGCTGGACGAGGAAGTGAGACATATTTTCGCGTGTGCGTGTGAAGTGTGTCAACGATGGACGAGTTTCGCTTTTCCCAACTGAAAAGCCAGACGCTGTAGGAGCCGCTCCGCGGTCTGTGCATGCGCTCCTGCGCGCTGGGAAAGGCGCGATGCCGGCGGCGCCGTGGCGCGGCGCGACGCTGCTTCTCTGCTGCGCGTGTCTGTGCGCCGCTCTGGGTAAGTTAAGTTGACCCGGCAGGGCCGTCTGCTCGCGCGGCGGGTCGCACCGACCGACCGACCGACCTCATTCTCCCTCGTTCCGTTTCTCTTTCTGCGCAGAGCAGCGAGACTGCGTCCTCGGTGAGGTGGGGCAGCCGGTGCTGCTGCCCTGCCACCCCAACTTGGGGAGACTGTTGAACTTCTCCGTCGAGTGGAGGGACCGCGACAGAGCCGTGTTCAGGTCGCGGTGGGACGGGGACGGGAACGTGGAGACGTGGAGCGTGAACTATGCCAGGATTCCCACAGACGCAGCGACCACCGGGAACTTCTCCCTGGAGCTGCCGTCAGCTCGGCCCGAACACGACCTGGGTCGATACAGCCTGTTCCTGCTGTCGGGGGAGAACCAGAGCGCGCCTCTGTGCACCAGGTGTCTCAGGGTGGCAGGTTAGTTCTGTGAAATGAATAAATTCAAATGACTCCAAATAATAAACTAACACAGAGTGTTGTGTTTTGAGCACTTTTTTACCTTCCAGTTTTGGTGGTTTTGATGTTATCCGGCCCACAGGCGTTAAAGGGGCAATTTTACGTCATGTATGTTATTCCCTCATCATAAACATACATGGAGTGTTGCTTTGATTATTTCATGCATGCTAGACAAACCCTTGAATCGCCCACGGCAACCATTCAGCTGTGCAAAAAACGCCTGGGTGGATGAAGCTCCTCCTCCTTCACCCCATCCATGACTCCCTCACTCAGCTCCTTCAGACTAGCCAGAAGCAATTAGCAAACACGTGGTGGAACTGTGCATTGACTGAGATCATAACAGGAGCTAATTCTCCGACAAAAATGTTGTTAAAGGGTTAATAAGGATCCATGTTGTGACTTTTTAAAGACACGGAGGCCCAATTGCAAGAAATTAAATCAGGGAGTAGGTTTTATTTTAAGCTGTAATTGACATGTGTAGCATTTGTAGAACAACTGAAGTTAGTGTAGTTACTTGATTGTGTCAACAAAATGCCATCATGTGTCTGTAAAACACATAACACCGTCCTTTTAAGGTGACATACACAGTCACTTTGCACAGGCGAACAAAAGCTACTATATGTCATCACCGAAGAAGCAGGTTGCTGGGGTGGCGTCCGAGCATGTTGAAGGAAAGTTAAGCGGCAGGAAAAAATGATGTAGAAAAAGGCTCATAAGCAATAGGTGCAACTAGTGGAGTCTGGAGGAAGAGTCCAAACTCCGTGCAAGAAATTTTACAGCACCTCATGCTTCTTGCTTTCTACTGACAAGCCTAACAAAGATGCTCTTTTTATTAGCCAAAGCGCAAATCGACATAGTACATTTTACATTTTCAATTTAACTATTGAGTATCAGTCATCTTTTCAATCCTATCCTAATTTAGTCAGATGTACTTACAGTAAAATGACCACAAAGTCATTTAAAAAGCCTTATGTTTGTGAGTTTGTTGTTTTTGCAGCCAGTTTTAGGATCCCTGAGGTGAGCAAGTTAGAATCGTCCTACCTGTGTCGGTCCTGGGGGGGATACCCCCAGCCTGCGGTGTACTGGCTCATCAACGACAGCCGCCGGCCCCCCAACGGTTCTGTGAGCACCCGGGCCCAGGCGCTCCCCGACTCCCACCTGTTCAACTTCACCAGCCAGCTGACCGTCAACGTGTCCAAAGACGACACCGTGTCGTGCACCGTCAAGAATCCGTCCACGAACGAGACCCTGACGGTCAAACGTGAGTCTCACACTGGTGCTCAGCGAAGACGGTCTTTCTTCTAATTACACGGGATCGGTGTCGAACGTGCAGCAGACATCTTTGTGCCGCAGAAAGTTTTGTTTGTGCCGCTATCATTTTGAAGATGTTAAGATGTGCTTCTAGAGGTCATCAAAGGTCAAGCAGTCAGTCCACTTTTACAAAATCAAACATAATACGATCTGCGTCAAAAACCTTTTGTGCCGCAGTTTTGTAATTTTTTTTTTGCTTGTGCCATTATAATTTTTAAGACTTCAATATCAATGCAACATGAACAAAATTGAACATAATTGATGTAAATCTGTTGTGTGCATGTGCAGCAAATATATTCACAGCATAGTTGATGGACACCAAATTTGCTTGATTTTGTGTATGCGGGTGAGGAAGGCTGATTGACCTTTGATGACCTCTGGGAACATTTACTAATATCTCTAATAGTGGCACTAATAAAAAAAAAAAGTTGTGCAGCACAATTTCATCGGCACCGATTTTACTTAATTTGAAGAAGACCTTCTGTCAGGTCGTCTCGGTCGGATGCCAGAACGCGCCGTCACTCTGTCCACTGTTTTGGGCTCACAGTGAGGGCCAGCACCAGCGGGAGCCGCGCGTCACAGGGCATGTGGATCTTCAGCACCGTCCTCTGCGTGGTGGTCGCCGTCATGGTGCTCGCCGGGATCTACTATCAGATCCACCTGGACAAGATAAGCAAGAGGAGGAAGAAGGAATACGAGGAACCGCGGAGAGGTGAGCCGATCGATACTTCCCGGAAAGCGGAGCAGAGGAAACCAGGAACGCTTTCCCACTCAGGCCGTTTGAGTTAGCATGAAATGCCATTTAATCCGCACAAGCAGCTGAATGGCTAATGGTTCTGCTGGTTTCACAAAACCCCCAAGCTTGGTGTGAAACTCAAACACAGAAGTTCCTTTTATATATCTTTGTTCCTGCTTCTTCTTCTTTTTAAATATCAATGTACGTACCGTTGTTGTTGGGGGACTGTCGGCTCAGGAGGAATTTCATCATGTGCCTTGAGTTGAATCTGTTTATTTACAACCTCATCACTCTTAATTTCAGTATAACTAAATAAATTCACTCTGACGGTGAACCCAGTAAGATCTGTGTGACATTTACCTCTCTACTTTGTTGCCCCTAAATAAAATCTCTTGAAAGTGTCTGCTATCAGAAATCCCCTAATTAATAAATGGAGCCCAGTTTTGCTTGTAAGTGCAGAGTTTTGTTAGTGACCGACAGATGGGTCAGGGATGATGTTGCACATTATCTCAGTTAGTTTGCTGCCGTGTCTGACTGAATGTTTGTTTCCATCAGGTCGACGATATCAGTACAAGCAGGCGACCGAGGAAATGATGCCAGAGCCAGAAGAGACTGACGTGTGAAAGAAAAGGACAAGAAAAAAAGAAAAAGTTAATCTATGGATCCACCGCCACTTTTTTACGATCAAACAAACAAACAAAAAAAGCACTGATATGTAAATAGTTCTGAATCATTGTGTGTTGCATTTTCTACATGCTTATCCTAAGCTTGCTGTCTTCTCTTTTTTCTTAAATGTGCCGGCTGATTGATTCCAGTCAGAAATGACGAGGACACTAGCAGGACGGTACATTCTGTTCTTAATGAGAACATGCGTCTAATTTGCTCTTACTCTACAGGAAGTGAGGAAAAATGGACTTTTGATGGTGGAGTCCAAAGATTGAGCGGCTAACTCCATAATGTAATGCTGTTTACTGGTCACTTATTGGTGTTTTGGGCGGCCATCATCCTGTTAAAGCACCAATTTCCTCTTCAATATAACGCGGCACCACTTCCTCCTCCTCCTCCAGTATTTGGAGCCGATTCCTGGTACGCAGCAGAATGAGTGTAGAATGAGAAGTTTATAAGCCCAAACCCCTCATGCTTATAGTGCAACTTCAACTCAAAGATCGGGGCTAATTGTTGGATTTATTTCTCTTCAGCAAACCACAAATTTTTCATGTTTCCCTCCCGCCCCCAACTGTGGGACATTGTTTTTTTGCCAAAAACGTGCCTCACACAGACATTGATTCTTACAGTAGAACTTCTCCCATCAACAGCTGTCTTTTTTCCATTGTCACTGTTCTTTTATCCTTCTATTGGATCGCACGTTTTTCATTTTCCTTCAAGTCCTCCTGGTTTTGGTTCACACTTTAAAGCATTTCAAACCACGCCAGCCGCTTAGTTTACGTTTTTTCCCAAGCTTCTCACTTTCAGCCAATCTGCCTATAAGACACTAAAAACCCTCCTGTTTGTTCAGGGAATGAAGAACCTCACTGGTTCCTATACTGCCACCACTGCAGATTTCTAATCAGTTATTTGCCTTGTACAAATATGATTTCTATTGGAAAAAAAATAAGACAAAAAACTTGGTGTTTCTTTATGTTGAACACAGCCGCAAATGTTCTTAAGAGCGTTGTGGTACTTTTATGTTTAGTGCCACTGTTGGCCATGGACTTTATGCGTTTTATTGTGTGTGTTGTTCTTTGTTCTGTGAAGCACTGTCAATTGTCCATAAATATTTTAAAGTTCCCTTTATTTAAAGAGGATGCGTTCCAAATAAAGCTTGTCTGATTTAATCAATGACGCAGCTACATAAGTTAAGATTTATAGGATATTTCCTTTTTTTTTTCTAAAAATTTAAAAGCCACAAGAGGCTGAAGTAAGGATTTATTCTGACCACAAACGAGTGCTTTGGTAACCTATTATTAAAAAAACGTCTTTCAGATGTGGCACCTGCTATTGCATCTTAATCACATGTTGTAAAGCTCCGTCTGTCACATAGTATCTCTGAACTGATCAACACTTTTGTCAGTGAGTCTGGGATTTTTAAAATTTTTTATTAACCTGGATTTGGATGGGCAACCAGAGGAGAGAAACACACACGTAAAACTGCAGCATTTACACACGAGTTCAAATCACACATTTAAGAAATGGTTCAGAAGGAAAAAGAAAAGAAAAAGAAAGTCGCCCTTGACCTTTTTCCTCTTGGTTCTTCGTTCTTCACATGAAGGCTGGTCCTGAGTCAGTGCTTCCCTTCTACGCTTCCTGACGCAGCCGCTCCATCAAGCACTAAATATTAACAGCCAGTCTCCTCCATGACAAGAACCAGGATTATTTAAAGTTGGGATTTTTTCAAAATTACATAATTAGAGGAGCGTGATCCAGTGTGGAGCGTTCAGCCCGATCCCTGCTGCACGGCCGTCACGGCGTAGAGGTCGTCTCGACGCTGGGAGCCTATTGGGATCTGCTGCCGGACGTCGGCCAAGTACTGCAGGTCTGGAGGCGGGCCACACACATGCAGAGTCAGAACATGGAGAACCTCACCGCAGAGGAAAATACAGTCTGACACGTGGGAGGGAGGGAGGACGACTGGAGAGACGACATTTATGATGGGGAATAAAATCTAGAAACAAAACTATTTTCTTTCTCCAGTCCAGATGTGGAAAATCCAGAAATCAAATCCTAAAACACTCCAGTTTTACCAGACTGCTTGGAAGTCCTGTGTGTCGATTAACTATTTTTTCTTAGCTTCCTAGCTCAGATGGAGGGAAAGACCTTTGACTCTCACCGATATCAGCGTAGATGATGGATTCCTCAGGCCCGGCCTTGGCGATGACCTCTCCCCTGTGAAAACAGACAAACGCGTTCAGATCGGATCAAACGGCCACACAGAGCGTCAGCGACGGTTTGCAATACGGCTGAAACAATTTGCCAGGAAATATGTTCAACTCAGGATTCCTGAAGTGACACTTGTAGCCGCAAATTATTTTTTAATATCATTTTAAATCCCCTATGAAGCAGGAGACCTTTGATTTCAAGTTTGAAATGTTTGCTTTTCTTATTTAAAAAAATGACTTCAGTCATTGGTTTATTTACAGTTTTAATCTCGTACAAATTAAGCTTTAGTGGTTAAATGAAAAACCCTGATAGCACGCCCTTTAGTAAGATCTGGTTACACAATTCAGTGGAGCAGATAGATTAATCGATTACGAAAACAGTTTCTACCTGCAGCCTCAGTTTAGACGTTCTAAAAACCACTTTCAGCCTCATCACATCTAACTGAATTACGCTGTAACAAGTTTGTTGTTTTGCTTTTTCAGAATAAAGATAGACTCAGAATAGGCGGCTGTTCCCTTGTGTCGCCTCCCGTCTGTCCGTGCCCTTGCGGTCTTACCACGGGTTCACCACGGTGCTGTGACCCCAGGCCACGTAGGACGCGGTTTCGTCTCTGGCAGGCGACGCTGTGGCCACGTACACCTGGTTATCGAGGGCCCTGCGTTACACACGGGAAGAGGACGCAAAGGGGTCTTGATTGGATTATTAAACTCGACGGCCGACGCACACTTGCAGGCGTGCTCCAGTCTCACCTCCCCCTCTGCAGCAGCTCCCAGTGGGCGGGGCCCGTCGTCATGTTGAAGGCTCCGGGGTAAACCAGCAGCTGGCAGCCTGAGCAAAGAAGAAGTTCTTCAGCCGTCCGATCAGGCAGTCCAAGTGAGTCGTTTTCAGTCGCTCACCTTTCCTGCTGTAGAGCTGAGCGAGCTCCGCGAACCTCATGTCGTAGCAGATCCCCACTCCCACCCTACAGAACGCTGCCAAAGCCAGGAGAGCAGGGGAGGAAACGGAACAAAACGAGATTCATCGACTTAAAGCTGGTCGTACCGCTTGAACGTTATAGATTTGATCAAACGCTGTTGGATTTCATGTGAAAGTGCGACGCTGGAGACAGGAATGCTCGTCTGTTCCATCTGCTTTTAGGTTTTCAAATAAGGAAAAATGGAAAACGCTTTGCTGAAAAGAGGATGGATACGACTTAATTACAAAAAAAAGATCTGAAACAATATCGCTTGCATTCTTCGTGTCATTGTGTCGTGGAAAATCAATTTATCACATAAAAAAGCAAAACAAAAAGCCATATTTAATGTATATTTAAAGCATTAGTTAATTCTAGGGATGCACCGGCTGCAGTTTTCTAGCCAACTGCCGATTACGACCTTTAAAAATCCTGACCTCTTGTTTTCAAGTTTGGCCAGTAGATATTTTTGTCTGAAATGTTGGTAAATATGGCAAGAAAGTTGCCGAGCTGGCAACAGTGGGGAGACGATTGTTTGAGCTGGTGGGCCTGTCAGCCAAACGTCTCCCACTGGAGAGCAGAAGAAGAAAGAGGTCGATTTTTAGACCTTTGCTGAGGTAGATGAGATCAGCGTCACATGTAATTATTGGGCGATCACTAATCTTCCTAAAATTAAAGAAAATTGTGTCCGATTTATCGTAGCACCCCCAGTTAATTCTTCATCATCTTAAGTCAGAGTTATTAAGGGAAGTTATGGAAGGTCCAAACAGCCACAGATTACAGACCAATGAAGTAAGTGAGATTTGGCCCCCAAATGTTCTTCAGATTTTTAGTTGTAGAAAAATATGGGGAAAAAGAAAAAGGTTGTGTTTTTTAAATTCAAGCAAAATACAACAAGGTGTGTGACTCCAACGGTGATAAAACACGGAAAAGTTCAAGGTGCACATAGAGAGCCGTCCCCGTCCGCCACTCACGCGTGTCGAACGTGGACAGGCTGTTCCCGGGGCTCAGCGTCTCGGACTCCTGGAAGCGGATTTTCCCCGGAACGTCGATGTCGAACAGGTGAATCTTTCGGGAGAGAGCGCAGAGGGGAGGAGGGGGTCACACGAATGCAGCGGGCGCCGCCTGCGAAGGACACGTGAGCGGGTGAGGAACACGCAAACCTTCCGGTGTTTGAGAATCAGCTCTCCGTCAGGACCAAACACGGCACAGGTGTTGTACAGCTTCCCGCCGTCCTCTTCAGGGATGGAGCCTGTTCGACAACGAGGAGGAGGCTTCAGTCATTCATTCATTCATATGAACATGGAACATGTTTGGATTGTTTGCTAATTAATTGTTAATTTGTGTTCATTCTTCCACAGTCTCCACTGACCCAGCAGCTCCAGGTGATCCGGTCCGTGTGGTTACTTTTCTATTCTATCAGCGGCTATAATGCGATGATGATCAGAGATGTTTTGACCAACTCTGAGAAAAAAAAGTTTCCAAAATTCTGATCAGCTGCAATCATTTCATCTGTAGCGGTCAGTATTTTCTGGAGGTGGAAGCCAATTAAAAAAAAAAAAAGTAGAGAAAACGTATTTCCATGTAATACTATTTCTCTCCTCCCTTTGAATTATACATAAAACATCCTCTAGATGGCAGCATACTTTTCCCTAAGTATAGAATAATTTATTCAGAGAAAACATATGAACTTACTTCCACTATGTCCAATTATTTTGTGCAGTTTTAAGTTTGATACACCATAAGAGAGTTTTGTTCTTTCTTTCATGCTTTATGTCAATATAATGTAAATAGTACATTATTATATGTTCACTATTTGTTTTCCTGATACACTAATGGAGATACTATCCAGTTTTTCCCCCTACTATGTTCACAAATTAGCTGACTTCTGAAGGCAAGTAGATGCATCGGGTCATATTTAGGTGAATCAAATCAAATAAAAAAAAAAAAGGTTGAACATTTGTAACTTTTCAGAATTTCTTCAAAAAATCATTTGGAAATCATCTTAACCAGCGTGTGAGTGCGTGTCAATTTGCCATATCGGTTCTGCGGCTCATTCAACTGCAATTTCTCACAAGACATCAACAGCTTGTGGGATACAAGGCTGTGACAGGGCGACCCACGAGTCCACACCTCCCACCAGATGCAGCCGGTTCTCCTTCGCCACCTCAGACAGCATCTGGGTGGATTCCCCCGGGATCTTCTCAGCGTAGTGGGAGAAGAAGCTGGTTCCATAGGGAGAGTTGAAGCACTCCTGAATCGGAGCGAGGACGCAAACTATCAGAGTGTGCCTTCCAAAAATTATTCATACGCTTTTAAAACATTTTCCACATTTTGTTACTCCTTGTACTGTCAATGAGGGTGAGAAGAAACTTAAAGGTCACTGTATACAGAAAATAAATAATAATAATCTCCTTACCGGCAGCAGCACCATTTTGCTGCCCTGTCCCGCTGCCTCCTTCACGAGCCTCCGCACTTTGCTCAGGTTGTCCGCCTTGACGCTGCTCACCTGCAGCTGGACCACAGCCAGGCGGAACTCTGGGACAACAAAACCCGGTCAGCACCGAGGCTTTACCCGGTCAGCACCGAGGCTTTACCGCCGACAGACAACACGGCACGAGTTTCAAACTACTACTGAGGTTTTGTTTTTTTGCTACATCTACCACAACGGCTTTCCTCTGTTGTTTATCCACTACGACAATGTCTGGTTGGTTCGCTCCTTACCATTTTGTCTGTCTGGATCTGGAAGACCCACAGAAATTTAAACTACGAATAACGTTTTTTTTAAAAAAGAAGCTGGAACTCACAAATACTTTCATACTTACTCGACATGACTCTCGTCACGGGGCTCATACCTGCAGAACTCGGCTCTTGTCAGTGCCGAGTACTTCCGGGTGGATGTTTACTTTTCAAAATAAGAGTAAGTCTACTTTTCGTCCATTTCAATAGCAATCAAGAAATTCATTAACTGTACTATTATAAATGTACGTGTACGTCGTCATGTGTGTGTTTTTTGTGGGGGAGGGAGGAGGATAGCATAAAAATGTAAAAACACAAATTTAGCTATCCGAGATAAATTCGGGAGTTTCTTGTACAGACCTTAAACCGTGGTCTTTTATTGTGAAAAGGCTGAGGTTCTCGTCACAGTGGGTGGATAGCTGGGGTCCAACCAGAGTTTAGTCCAAAGTATAACAGCTCATTTGGTAATCAATTTGAACAAAACAGTGATAGAGTTGAAAAAGATTAACACCAGTCAGCACCAGGCCTTAAACTGTTCGTAAACATTTATGTAACTAGATGCAGCTGGTGCAAAACTGCTTCAGTGTGATCTTCCCCTCTGAGCCTGCTCACATTTCTCTGCTCAAACTAATAAAATCTAGCGCTGTATAAGACCACATCATCACTCTTCCACCACCCTGCTTGATAATTGCTGTTAACTTACTTTGACATTTCTTGAAACACTTTGTATATTATTGCCAAACATCTTTACCTTAGTCTCATTTTTACAAATAACATTAGTACCAAAGTGTTGGAGCTTGTTTAGATGAAACATTATGAAAAAAAAATTCCCTTCTCACCCACCGCGGATGGTTCTTATCCTCTGAGCTAGGGTCCTCTACCAGAGGCCTGGGAGCTTGAGGGTCCTGCAGTATCTTGGCTGTGCCAAGGTCTGCACATTTCTGGACTGAGATGTCTGATGTTGTTCCTGGGATTTGTTGCTCCAGTTTGGGGGTTACTGCCCCGAGGGCCCCGATGACCACAGGCACCACTGTGGTCTTCACCTTCCAGGCCCTCTCCAGTTCTCCCTGAGGCCCTGGTATTTCTCCAGTTTCTCGTGCTCCTTTTTCCTGATGTTGCAGTCACTTGGTATTGCTACATCAACCACAACGGCTTTCCTCTGATGTTTATCCACTACGACAATGTCTGGTTGGTTCGCCATTACCATTCTGTCTGTCTGGATCTGGAAGTCCCACAGGATCTTAGCTCTGGCGTTCTCCACCACCTTTGGGGGTATTTCCCACTTTGATCTCGGGGTTTCCAGTCCATATTCTGCACAGATGTTTCTGTACACTATACCTGCCACTTGGTTATGTCGCTCCATGTACGCTTTCCCTGCCAGTATCTTGCACCCTGCTGTTATGTGCTGGACTGTCTCAGGGGCCTCCTTGCACAACCTACACCTTGGGTCTTGTCTGGTGTGGTAGATCTGGGCCTCTATTGCTCTGGTGTTTAGGGCCTGTTCCTGGGCTGCCAGGATGAGGGCCTCTGTGCTGTCCTTGAGTCCAGCTTTTTCCAGCCATTGGTAGGATTTACTGATATCAGCCACTTGGGTTATTTGCTGGTGGTACATCCCATGTAGGGGCTTGTCCTCCCATGATGGTATCTCTGGCACCTCAACCTCTGTTCCCTGTTGTCTGAGACATTCACTGAGCACATTGTCTGTTGAGGCTTTGTCCCTGATGTATTTATGGATCTTAGTTGTTTCGTCCTGGACAGTGGTTCTCACACTCACTAGTCCTCTGCCTCCTTCCTTGCGGCTCGTGTACAGTCTCAGGGTGCTGGGTTTGGGATGGAACCCTCCATGCATTGTTAGTAGTTTTTGAGTCTTTATTTATTTATTTACATCCATCCACCCATTACTGCTATGAACTGTAACAACTAGATGGTGAGATTGCATCTGTTGCAACATCTTTGCATTGCGTCAACTAACCACCTTGTTAAGATTACAGGCAGGAATTTTTCTTATCGTTTAGTGTGATAAATTTCTCGTAAGAATTTTAGTCATCCTTGTCACGATAAATTCCAATCTGATGTTTAAAATGCCCCAATACTTTCCTTATTGTGGGGATCAGTAGCTTTACCATTTTCTCCACTGCTTGTTCAATAAAAGCATTAATAAATACAAGAATAGAGTTATTGTGCGCGGTTCAGTGATACAAATCCCACTACTTGATGAGACCAGTCCTAAAGCAATGCATAACTAATGAGAATGGTAATCAAGAGCAGGATTTGTTTTCACATAATAGTGTGATAAAGCTGAAGTCCATGTGCTGTCTAAATGGGCTGACGGCCATTTTAAATGTTTTCAGCTAGTAGAAAATGCTTCCCATTGTAGGAGTGTGTGACCCTTAAATAGTTTATGAGGCATTGCATTATTCCCCACTAACTACACACACACTTAGTTTAGTACATGGAATTTTTTTAAGTAAACATGTCTACAGTCCGGTCCAATAATCTCCATTTATTAAAATCGGAAATGTTTAGAAAACAATAGCAGTACAGTAAGGTGCAAAGTAAATTATACTTGTTTCGTTTCAATATAGTGGTCGGCGTCCTGTCTGATGCTACAGAGTGACGTAAGGACTTGCTCCCAGTCGAGGATGTTCCAGTCAGAGAACACCGACAACACAACAAACGGGGCGACACAAGAATGGATGGGACCAAAAGACAAACCCGATTAAGACCTTCCGTTTCAAGTTCAGCCTTCTGTTTTTCCTAGAATTTCTCAAAAGATTTTTAGTTTTTATACGGGCGATTAGAAATAAATACAATTTACAGAGTGCTGCAGAAAATTAAATTTCCTCTTAAATACATCCCCATGCTGCCTGCACTGGAAACCGTAAAGCAAAAATGCGTCTGTACGGAAAAAGCAAATGTCGGAAAGCGAGAACATAAACTGCATGTTGGTGGGCGAAGCCGCCACCGCTGGTGCCCCAAAGTGACATCACAGCCATGAGGCCAACTGAAGGTGCTCGGTTTGGATCAATACAACCAAAAACAACCAAACTGGTCTGGAAACATAACCAGTCAGTTAATATTTCATTCCTATTTGGAGCGAAACATTTTGTATGCGAGTCAAGGAGGCGAACAAAGAGAACTGCATAATAAAGTGAATGAGAAGGAAAGAGCAGACAAGTTTCTCTGGCTTTCGTCGACTACATTTCCCAAACCTCCTGGAGTGATCCCAGCGTAGCTCTTGGGTGGGGCTGCTTGAGCTACAAACTGCGTAGGGACAAATGCTGAAGAGGATAAATGAGAATACATTGGCCCACAGAAATACTCCAGGCAAACCGCTGTCTGTAGGAACAATGGATGTTTCAAACCTCCACAGTTTCCTGTATTCTCTCCATCAGGATGTGCTTTCATAATGACATATCTGTTTTGACAGAACAGTTCACACAGTATATACATTATATATTTATAGACACCTTCAAATAACTTCTGTTTAAGGCTATCTGATGGAAAGGGAGAAACGTTACCAGAAAAAAAGAAAAGAAAAAAAAAAGAAGCAGGAATTATGTGCCAGTGTTGCCAATACGTAGCTTAGCTGACTCATACTAAAAATGATAATAAATTTACTGAATATGTAAAGAAAGATCACAAGAAAATTAAAAGACAAATCAAAAGGTCAGTTATGCATGGGTTTTATAGATTCGCCACTGGGTGGCTAGGATGCTACGGTAAGGCCAGAGCAACATCAAAGCCAAACTGCACTGTAAAAGGAAGAACACACGACATAACCAATTTTTCTTAAATTAGTCACAGGAAAGTGGTTGGATGACTGCGGAGCACCTAAGTTATTTGGACACAGGCAGCACTGACCCGCAGGCCTGCTGTTGGCGGCGCGTCCCACAACGTCCCAGGAACGGGAGACATGGGGTGAGGTGAGGGGCATCGGAGTCAAACACTGCACTGGGATCTGTCCAGGAAGGAGGACGCCCAGGAACGGGGGGGAGGAGTCTTCTCACAGTTTGTGTCACCTGCTGCGACCGCAGCCTGCGCTTACGAGCTCTCCAGAGCGTCTAATACTTTCATGATCTGCTGCTTGATGACTTTTGTGGCGTCGCCTGCGTTTGGTATCAAATATCTGGGAGAGGAAGAATAAAAATATTTGATTAGATTCATGTAAACATACACAAAAAACCAAAATTATTTTATTGATAGGAGTGATTAAAAATCAGTTTTCCAAATATGCTTTCTCAATTTTGAATATAGGGCTGAGTGATGTGTTTTATGGCTTCTATTTATTTGGCCTTTGCATCCAAGTCAACTTGCATACAAGATGGCTGAAATAAAAAAAACTGTTTTTCAAAATATACGAGGCATAGTTTTGAACATTAAGAAATAAAGATATCTGATAAAATTTCTTAAATTTGTATTCAGCCCAATTTACTCTGACATCCCTAAATAATATTTATATGGCTGAAACTGACAGTTATAGTAACTGATTAATCTATCATTTATTATGACCATTAATCGGATAAAAAACACATCGGAACAATTTGCTGAGTTCTTTTATTTAAATCTAAGATATTTAAGAGTGTGTTGTTCTTTCAGCAATTTGTCCTTTTTTTGTCTCTATGCTCCAGTTAATGACTGATCAATTACTAAATTAGTTGACGATTACTTCAATAATCGATTCATTACAATTAAGGAATTTAGACCTACAAAAAAAAGAACTGAAGCTTTAAACATCTCAAAACTGAACTGCAGAGGCGACAGAATCTTTGACCATCATTGACAACCTTAGTTGAGAAATTTACACTAGGAAAGCCACTGTTAAAAAACAGATAAGAACTTTTTTTTTTGTTGTGTTCATAATGCAACTTGTATCTTGACGTCTCAGGGAGCTGTCAAAATTAAAAAGTGTATTTTTTTTTTAAAGAAAAAAAAAAAGTTGTGTTTATCTACACATGATCACCTCTCAACTGCAGATATTTCCACTCCAGCTGAATTGTTGGTCCCGAATTTAAAGGTGATAAGCTCTGGGTGCTTCTTTTTGGATGTGATCTTCACCACAGAGCTCAGCGCCTGTCTGGACTGGATGTAAGCAAATCCTTTCCTGGCGGCAATCTCCCTGAGGCAGTACATGTGGGTCGCCGTAATCAATAAGTGACTGGAAGACACACAAAAACACACAGT